CCCAAGTAGCTGGGACTACAGGCGCCCGCCACAACGCCTGGCCTTTTTTTGGTTGCAGCCATCATTGTTGTTTGGCGGGCCCGGGCTGGGGATTCAAACCCGCCACCTTAGGTGTATGTGGCTGGCGCCTTAGCCGCTTGAGCCACGGCGCCGAGCCTCCACATGCTCTTTTTAATGGTAGTACTAAGACGTCTGTTGTGCACCTTACCATGTGCTAGCACCATGGAGATGGTGTCTCTAACCCTCACAGAGTTCTCTAAGTTGGATAGTAGCGTATTTTCCCTTTTTTACAGGTGAAGGAAGGAAACTGACTCCAGGAGAGGTTTTTTATCACTTGTCCAAGGTTATGAGTAAGTGGTAGAGCTAGGGTTTGGGTTCAGGTCTGCCTGGCTTCAGCAAGCTGTGCTGCCTGGCTTAAGCTCAGCTGTGCTGAGCACTGTGACTGCTGTGCTGTACTACAGCCTTCCAAATGCTTGCTAGGACTCATTTGTTGAAGTCTGCCTATCAAACTGTCTATTTGGAATTCTATAAATTGTACTATTTTGGACAAAGCAAATGATGACCCTTGTAGCTGTCTGTGTACATTAGTTGTAAAGATGTGTTGGAGCCCAGTGAAGATAAACTGAAGAAGCTTTGTTACAGCTTTATGTTTCTGTTAATTTATGTCTTGACATTTGGGATGAACCAAATCCTATTAGAAGTAAGAAAAACTTCTCAGCATTATAATACATGATTTTTGATCAAAAATTAAGTTTAAAAGTGTTAGTGTATGACTCATCATTTTTTCAACAGATAAAGAGTTCTATTTGTCTTCTACGGGGAAAAATCTATGATGCACTAGATAACCGAACCTTAGCCACTTACAGCTACAAAGAAGCTTTGAAGCTTGATGTCTACTGTTTTGAAGCGTTTGATCTTTTAACTTCACACCACATGTTGACAGCACAAGAAGGTTTGGAAACTCAGATGTTCTTATGTTTAGCAAAATTAATATTTGGATTTTTTTCCTCTGACATCTATAGAATTGAGCTGACTATGTACAGGTTTAAATAGTTCTACTGACTCTAAATGTTTCTAGATATGAAGCACAGTGGTCACTTTGGCAGCACATATACTAAAATTAGATATGAAGCACATTGCAAAATGCATTGTTGTGTGGTGCCTTTTGCTATTTAAATTTTTAAGAATTGGACTGTGATGCAGCCATCCTTTTGGGATGTGACTGAAGTAGTACCTACGTGTAAACCAAAATTTGAATATCGAGTTCAGTGACTCTCAACCTGCCCATGCTTTAGATCCCTGAGAATCTTTAAATACATCAGTGTGGCCAGGTGCCGTGGCTCATGCCTATGATCCTAGGAGGCTAAGGTGGGAGGATTGCTTGAAGCCAGGAGTTCGAGATCACTCTAAGCAAGCCAAGACCTGTCTCTACAAAAAAAAATGAAAAAAAGTGAGCCGGGTATGATGGTACACCTGTAGTCCCAACTACTGGGAGGCTACAGCAGGAGGACTATATGAGTACAGGAGTTTGAGGTTGCTGTGAGCTATGATGACACCATTTCACTCCAGCCTGGACATCAAAGTGAGACCCTGTTGCAAAGAAAACCCCACAGTGTCAAACCAGTTCATTCAGAACCTTCCAGGTGGGGCCCTGTCATCAGATAATTTAAAACTCCTTGGTGGTCCTAACATAGCACAGGGATGACTGAGAACCACTGTCCAAATGTGTTGGCATTCATGGTGATGGGAGGTGAGTAAATAGGAGAAACAGAAAACTGGGTGGTTGAATTAATGGGATTCGAATGTGTCTATTTTTCTGAGACAGAGTCTCACTCTGTTGCCTGGGCTAGAGTGTAGTGGCATCATCATAGCTCACTGAAAACTCAGACCCTGGGCTCAAGTGATCCTCCTGCTGCAGTATCTGGAGGAGCATCCTAATGCACACCCAGCTAAATTTATTATTTTTTTTTTTGGTAGAGACAGAGTCTCACTCTTTTGCTCAGGCTGGCCTTGAAATCCTAGGCTCAAGCAGTCTTCCTATCTAGGCTTGCCAGAGTGCTAAGATTACATGTGTGATCCGCTGCCCTTGCCTGGCTTCAAACATATTTTAGCCTAGTACAGGGATTCTCAACCATGATGGTTTTGCTGCTGAGGTACATTTAGGAATGTCTGGAGACATTTTTTGGTGTCACAGCATGGAGGCAGCTAGGCAGGTTGGGAGATGGTTGTTGGTGTCTAGTGGGTAGAGGCCAGAGATCCTGCTAAACATTCTGTCATACATAGGACACTCCACAAAGCAGAGTGACCCATGCAGCATTCAGTAGCACTGGGGCTAGTGGCTGAGGACAGCACCCACCTGAAGGCCTCCTGGCCCTAGAGGAAGGGCTGCCTCTACTCCAGATAATTCTCCTTTTCTGGGGTTGGAGGCCACTATGCCTGTTTTTTTTTTTTTTGAGACAAGAGTCTCACTTTGTTGCCCTTGGTACTTGGTAGAGTGCCGTGGCATCATAGCTCACAGCAATCTCAAACTCTTGGGCTCAAGTGATTCTCTTACCTCAGCCTTCCAAGTAGCTGGGACTACAGGTGCCCAGGTATTTTTTAGAGATGAGTGTTGCTCTGGCTCCTACTAGTCTTGAACCTGTGAGTTCAGGCAATCCACCTACCTCGGCCTCCCATAGTTCTAGGATTACACGCGTGAGCTGCTGCACCTAGCCTTGTGACTGTTTTATGTAGCACATTATAATCTTGTGATTTTCTCTTTTGAATTTGATTTACTTAGACCAAGAAGTATAGGAGAATATTTTTAGTTGCTGATTTTTTTTCCCTTGTAAATTTTATGAAGACATTAATTTATATTTTCCAACCATTTTTAAGAAAAAGAACTTCTTGAATCCTTACCGCTTAACAAGCTCTGTACTGAAGAACAAGAATTGCTACGTTTTCTATTTGAGAACAAATTAAAAAAGGTAAGTAAGAACACAAAGTTAGCATTAGTTTTATGTAAATATCTTTTATTTCTTTCCTTAAATTTGGCTTGTATATTTTTTATTAAATTTTTTAACATAAAAATTTTATTAATTTAGAACATTTGCAAGAGAATAGTTATTTTTCTCCCAAGAACTCCTTATACTAAAAGATTGAATAATGAAATAAATGGAATGGTGTTCCATGAAAATGAAGATTTTTTTTTTTTCTTATGCTATCTGAACTTCTACTTCAGGAAATAATTCCTACCATGGAATTCTGTAATAATATTGAGAAGAAAATTAAACTTATTGATAGGAGTACTGATAAAATTTGAAGTTAAAAAAGTTTTCATAGGCTCATGTATGTCCATGTCTAAATGTTTTTAACTACTTGGGTCAAACACAAATTGAGTCTGCCTTTTGACTTGTTATTGTTCATTGAGTTTATGTTTAAATTTCTCTGTGTTTCAGTATAATAAACCTAGTGAAACTGTCATCCCTGAGTCTGTAGATGGCTTGCAAGAGAATCTGGATGTGGTAGTGTCTTTAGCTGAGAGACATTATTATAACTGTGATTTTAAAATGTGCTACAAGCTTACTTCTGTGTAAGTATACCTCCATTTTTGTGTAGGAATGTCCATATTACCTAAGTAATTCATGGACATGCTCTCTGAGTAATCTCGAACTAGATAACTTAAATTACCTTTACCATTTGTAGAGCACTGAGCAGGGTACTGTCTTAAAAGGATAATTTGCAGACACAGGTGCATGCATATTTGTGGATTTGTGCCACTAGCTTGGGAGGGATATACATGTTCCTCTTCCCAGTCTTGATAATGTGCAAGTTTGAAAATACCATTTTGGTACATAGTTTTATAACATTCAATCTTTATTAGCATCTAATACAGTCCTCTAGGAACTGGGTGCTTAGTCTGCCACTCTTACTGGTAAACCATGTTCCCCACACAACAGTTTTCCAGTGTACATAATTTTAGCTTATCCTTTAGCTAAATAATATCCAACTTTTTTTGTGGATCTTTTGAGTTGTCTAAAATCCTTGAAATCAAAAAAATTTTAATTGGCAAATACTTATCTATTTAATATTTCATATTGTTTTGATCCTTTTAAACAATTGGATCACCTGTTTCATGTATTACAATTCTGTTGATATAAAGTAAATAAATACAGCAATGTTTATTTTTATCCTTACCAATAAAGCAGAATTTTCCCTTTCATTTATAACCTAATTGTTGCCTTCATTAACTCGAAGAGAATGGAGTGAAGAAGGAGAAAAAGCACTAGAGCCCATGGTCTCATAGTAAAGCTGTAGTGACCATGTAAACAGCTGGTGAGGGATAGTGACTGCATAAGCATAGCTGGTGACACTGAATGCCTGCCTGGACTGTTTCTGGGGTGATAATATGTTGCTTTAACTTTTTCAGAGTAATGGAGAAAGATCCTTTCCATGCCAACTGTTTACCTGTACATATAGGGACGCTTGTGGAGCTGAATAAAGCAAATGGTAAGAATTTGTTTTAATTAAGCTAATTTCTAAGATAAAACAAATTTCTGTGACTTGAAGTTTTGTCTCATAAATCTTAGCTAGTTGAGATTGCAGATGACAATATAATGAGTTCTACAATAAAGGTAAAAATGAGGAGGAAATGTTTAAGTGGCTAAGGGTCTGTTTTCCAACAGAACAATTTATTTCCTTATCTCTTTTCTCATTCTCAAATACACTATGTGCTTTTAGGCATGTTAGCTTTAAATTGGTGTTGTTAGTTCTGCCTCTTTTGTCTTTTTTTGTAAATTCCATAAGAAAATGTGTACAGTAAGAACTGTTAGCTAATTGGAAGACAACATTTTTTTTTGTGGTTTTTATATTTTAATATTGCAGAAACATTTGATTGTGTTTAGGTTGTATTTGTCCTTAAAGGTCTTTTTATTTTATTTATTTATTTATTTTAATTTCAGGTTAATTTGAGGGTACAAAGAATTAGATTATAATGTTTGGATTTGCTCGGTATAGTCCCTGTTATAGTTGAGTCCTACCCTAGGAGGTGTGCCATACACCCCCAAACTGTGCCCATTAAGTGGGAGCACACCCATCCCCTTCCTTCCTCCCTCCCGACTTGAAGTGAACTGAGATTTTCTCATGTGGGTGTGTATTGGTTTGTCTACTGGCTTCATACTACTATTGAGTACATTGGATACTTGCTTTTCCATTCTTATGATACTTTACTAAGAAGAGTGTGTTTTTGTTTTTGTTTTTATTTTTTTATTTTTTTTTTGAGACAGAGCCTCAAGCTATCCCCCTGGGTAGAGTGCCATGGCATCACACTCACAGCAACCTCCAACTCCTGGGCTCAAGTGAGTCTCCTGCCTCAGCCTCCCAAGTAGCTGGGACTACAGGCGCCCGCCACAACGCCTGGCCATTTTTTGGTTGCAGCCATCATTGTGGTTTGGTGGGCCTGGGCTGGGGATTTGAACCCGCCACCTTAGGTGTATGTGGCTGGCGCCTTAGCCCCTTGAGCCTTGTTTTTGTTTTTAGAGACAGAGTCTCACTTTGTTGCTCTCAGTAGAGTGCTTTGGTGTCACAGTTCACAGCAACCTCCAGCTCTTGGGCTGAGGTGATTCTCTTGCCTCAGCCTCCCAAGTAAGTGGGACTATAGGTGCCCACTACAATGCCTGGCTATTTTTTTGTTGCAGCATGGCTGGGTTCTCACCCCCACCCTTGGTATATGGGGCCGGCACCCTACTCACTGAGCCACAGGCACCACTCAGAAGAATGTGTTTCATCTCCATCCCGGTTAATACAAAGGGTATAAAGCCTCCATCTTTTCATAGGGCTGAATAGTATTCCATGGTATACATATACCATAGCTTATTAATTCACTCCTGAGTTGATGGGCATTTAGGTTGTTTCTACATCTTGGCAATGGTAAATTGAGCTGCAACAAACATTATAGTGCAAATGTCTTTATGCTAAAGTGATTTTTATTCCTTATGGGTAGATGCCTAATAGTGGGATTGCAGGATCAAATGGGAGGTCTAATTTGAGTTCTTTTCAGGATTCTCCATACTTCTTTCCATAGAGGCTGTATTAGTTTGCGATCCCACCAATAGTGTAAAAGTGTTCCCTTCTCTCCACATCTACGCCAGCAACTGCAACTTTGGGAATTTGTGATGTGGGCTAATCTTACCAGGGTTAGGTGATATCTTAGGGTGGTTTTGATTTGCATTTCTCTGATGATTTGGGATGATGAGCATTTTTTTATGTTTATTAGCCATTCATCTGTCTTTCTCAGAAAAATGTTCTCTTCATGTCTCTTGCCCAGTGATAGATGGGATTGTGGGGTCTTTTTTTGTTGATTAATTTGAGTTCTCTATAAATTTTAGTTATCAGCCCTTTGTCAGATTTGTAACATGCAAATATCTTTTTCTGTTCTTTTTTTTTTTTTTTTGAGACAGAGCCTCAAGCTGTCCCCTGGGTAGAGTGTCGTGGCATTACAGCTCACAGCAACCTCCAACTCCTGGGCTCAAGCGAGTCTCCTGCCTCAGCCTCCCAAGTAGCTGGGACTACAGGCGCCCGCCACAACGCCTGGCTATTTTTTGGTTGCAGCCGTCATTGTTGTTTGGCGGGTCCGGGCTGGGGATTCGAACCCGCCACCTTAGGTGTACGTGGCTGGCGCCTTAGCTGGTTGAGCTATAGGCGCCGAGCCATCTTTTTCTATTCTTAAGGTTATCTATTTGATTTATTACTTGTTAAAAAAATCTTATAGCTGTTATTTTTTTATTAAGTCATAACTGTGAACATGAATGCATTTATGGGATACAATGTACTGACTTTATTATCTGTTTGCTTTAATTGTTATGTCCTTAGCTGCCAGAAGCTTTTCAGTTTAATTAAACAAAAGTCCCATTTGTTTATTTTCATTGTTGTTGCGATTGCCATTGAAGTCTTCTTCATAAAGTCTTTCCCCAGTCTGACATTATCAAGAGTTTTTCCCATATTTTCTTCTGGGATTAATATCATTTCCTGCCTTAGATATAAGTCTTTTGTCCATCTTGAATCAATTTTTTTAAGTGGTAAAAGGTGCAGGTCAAGTTTAGTCGTTTACATGTGATTAGCCAGTTCTCCCAGCACCCTTTATTGAATAGGGATTCTTTTCCCCAGTGTGTGCTTTTGTTTGGTTCATTGAAGAGCATATGGCAATAAGAGACTAGTGTCATTTCTTGGTTTTCTATTCGGTTCCATGTCTGTCTCTATTTTTGTGCCCATACCATGGTGTTTTGATCACTGTGGACTTATACTGTAACCTCAAGTCTGGTAGGGTGATGCCTCTGGCTTTGCTCTTGTTATTAAGAATAGTCTTCACTATATGGGGTTTTTCTGGTTCCATCGGAAATGAAGAACTATTTTTTCTAGTTCTTCAAAGTATGCCGTTGGTAATTTAATGGGGATTGCATTGAATCTGTAGATTGCTTTGGGTAATATAAACATTTTAACAGTGTTGATTCTTCCCAACCAGGGGCATGGTATATTCTTCCATTTGTTGATATCTTCTGCTATTTCTTTTCTTAAGATTTCATAGTTCTTTTTGTAGAGATTCTTCACCTTTTTTGTTAGGTATATTCCTAGGTATATCATTTTTTTGAAGCTACTGTGAAGGGTATTGTGTCCTTGATTTGCTTCTCTGCTTGGCTATTGTTGGCCTCTACAGAGGCTACTGATTTGTGAATGTTGATTGAATAATTAACTCTGTCAGGAGGAAAAAGCCCCCACGCTCCCATTCCAGATCCCTGCTTTCTAGCAGTGAGGTATGAGGACCTTGTGAAAACTTGTTGGAAATATAGACTCTCCAGCTGCTGTCATCCAGAAATGGTAGAATGTACACATTTTTCAAGATTTGATAAACTTGGAAGTTTGGTCAGCCAAATTGGCTATGGGTGGTTAAGATGGTCCCTTATGGCTTGGTACCTGTGGCTCAAGCAGCTAAGGCGCCAGCCACATACATGTGAGCTGGCGAGTTTGAATAAAGCCCAGGCCTTCCAAAAAATGTTGTGGCGGGCATCTGTAGTCCCAGCTACTTGGTAGGCAGAGGCAGGAGAATCTCTTGAGACCAGGCGTTAGAGGTTGCTGTGAACTATGATGCCACAGTACTCTACCCAGGGTGACAGCTTGAGGCTCTGTCTCAAAAAAAAAAAAAAAAAATAGATGGTCCCTTATGGGCCTGTGGCATAGGAGGCATCAGTTTCTAAGGTAGGTGAGATGCTTTTCAGTAACCTCTGTCTTGCTGGAAGGGCTTTGCTGGGTGGCATCTGTTCCTACCTTGTCCATTGCCTGTCACTCACTTTGTAGCCACTTGGCAAGTGCTCAGTGTCCACTGTGGGTCTGGCACTGGGTGTGTCTGCCCAGTGGAATTTCTGTACTTTATTAGGTAAATGGATTTTGTATCTAGCAGAAAATAAAAGTATGCAGTCATTGCTGTGAGAACAGAATTTTTGTGATTGTGAAGAGTTGTAACCAAATCATAGCTTAAATTGCATTTCATATGAATAATTATATTTTTTTCTTTTTCTCCTAATGTAGAACTTTTCTATCTTTCTCACAAGCTGGTGGATTTATATCCTGGTAATCCTGTAAGTAATTATAAATCTTTTTTTTTACAGTCTTGTTTTCTTAGCTGACCTTTGAGAAAATACTTAGTATTTTAAGTTCAAGCAAATAATATTTTAAAGTGTTAGAGCAAAATATCTTAGTGCTTAATATAATAAGAAAGCAGCATTAACTTTTTCAGTCCATGAAGGTATTTTTTTAATTATACTAAAGCAGTAACTTAAAAAACCTTTTAGTTTTTTGATTTGTAGACATTATATATCCTTATTTTAAAACACTTAGCATACAGAAATATAAAATACTGCCATGACAATCATATGCCTCCCTTTTGTAAGCAATGCTGGATAGCTTTCTCACATTGCACGTTTAAGACAATTCCTGAACTTTGCTCTGAATCCAGACTATCATGGATCAGAGTGGAGAAGCAGGAATGGAAAATGTAATGAGGAGCTCTGTCTTTAAAGAAAAAAGCAGTCTACATCTCAGACAAGAGTCTACACTTTCACCCACTGTGAAACCTATGCCCGAGAAGCAGCTAAACCAATTCAGCACTGTGTGAGAAGACAGGGAAGAGGCAGGGGCGAGTTGGAGGAGAAGCACTGCTGAGAACAATCTTTGGACTGGGATATCCTCAGAAGCCTCGTCCACTGTCCAAGCTGCCTTAGGAAACCTGTGGAGTTATCTGTCCTCTCTGATTGAGGACCTCAGTAGATAGACTGTCCAGAGAAATTTCTAACTTGAACTAGAATATGTGGTATAAGAAAGTCTAGTTTGTCCTCTTTCTGGCCTCATGTGTTGAAGATACAATTTAAGGTTAAGCAGTCTTTGGTAATGGTAAATTTTGAACTTTTTAGGTGTCTTGGTTTGCAGTGGGATGTTATTATCTCATGGTTGGTCATAAAAATGAACATGCCAGAAGATACCTGAGGTATGGATTTATTCCCTTTCTCTCTCTGCAGTGAACTTGCTTTGTGCAGTAATTGGTACTTTAAGGCAATGTGAAAGAATAAATGTTTCTTCAACAGATTCAGTTCAATTGCCTTAGTTACTTGCTTTTATGTTGTGAGGGGAGATAAAAGAAATTAGTGGTTTAGCTCCCTTGTCCTCAGGGAGCTTATGTGTTTTTCATTTTATTGATAAATGAGAATAAATAATGAAACAAAAGAAAATAATAGAGTTTGAAAGTTTCCTTTTTTTATTTATACTATTAACCTTTTACTTTTAGGACTTCTTTTGTTAATAGTTGTAAAGTTATATGAAACTTCATATGAGATTGGGGTCTCTAACTGTGACTGTGAACCAAGAGTCCTGGTAGGATGAGTTAGCTCACATATGGATTTGCCATGGTTTTAGCTTAAGTTTAGCTATGCATCCCAATCATGCATGATTAATACTTAGCCACTATTAATTGAGTCTCACAAAATGTCTAATATGTGAAGAATTACTTAAACACTCTAAATGTAATAATACTTGTGATTCCCTCTATGCAAACAAAATCAAAAGTGATCTGTAAGAGAAAGAGATAAACTTTGGAGTCAGACTAGAATTCTAATGCAAATTCTATGACTGAAATTCCTTAGGAAAGTTAATTTCTCTTACTTTCTTCTCTGAAGATGGGGATGGCGGCTTGCGTAGCTCAGTGGTTAGGGTGCTGGCCACATGCACTGGGGCTGGCAGGTTAGAACCCAGCCTGGGCCTGCCAAACAACAATAACTACAACAAAAAAACAGCTGGCCATTGTGGTGGGCGCCTATAGTCCCAGCCAAGGGTGACATAGTGGGACTCTGTCTCAAAAAAGAAGAAAGAAAATGGGGTTGGCATAATATTTACATCTCGGGATTGTTAGGGAAATTGATAAGATAACCTGAAAGTGCCTTGTGCTAGGAAGAAGATAGAGCTCTGGTGGGTTGTGTGCTCAGCATTTTAGGAAAACTCATGAGTAGGAAGGTGATTCATACTGTAAAAGTTCTTTTGAAGTATGCTGCTTTGATTTACTGTATGATTCAGTAATGGACTCTACATAAAACAGGGACTATTTAAGGAACAGAAAAATTAGAAAAATAAAATGCTAGGAAGTAGGATATTACCCTTTGTTTTACAGGTTTTCTGACATGTTCTCTCTATTCTTTGCTATGGGTTATTACATTGTGTTCACTGACTGAAGACAATTCATATATAGTGTAATCTGCGAAACCAGGTGTATCTCCTACCACCAGCCGTAGGATATCACTTAAACTAACAAGCCTTGCTATACTTGTCCTTAAAATATGAATTAATTTATCTTGCAAGTTACAGGATGAGAGCATGCATTTAGGCATCTAGTGTGGTGCTGGGCACAAAATAGACCCCCAGTTAATGGTTCTTGCTGTTGCTCCACTATTTATCTCCACCAGCTCCTGCATGAAGTAATGTTTGTGGGTTCTGTGCAGAGTGCTGATGAGTTTGGCTACAGTACCTAAAACTGTGGATCTTTCCTTAAACTTATTAAACTTTTGCTTATACTGTTAAATATTGTTTAAGTTCAAGTGAATTAACGTAAATGTTATATTAGTATTTACTATGTTGATGACTCATATATTAAATGAAAATGTCTTTGAGAGGCCATCTGCTTATATAAAATTAACAATTTAAAAATAAATTGAGTGCACTGTTTATTTTAGCAAAGCTACAGCGCTGGAGAAGACCTACGGGCCTGCTTGGATAGCCTATGGGCACTCGTTTGCAGTGGAGAGTGAGCACGACCAGGCCATGGCTGCCTACTTCACAGCAGCACAGCTGATGAAAGGGTATGCATTAACAAAAATAAATGAAATTTGTATTGTTACTGTTATTGCCATTTGATTTTCTTTTCTTTTTTTTTTTTTGAGACGGAGCCTCAAGCTATCCCCCTGGGTAGAGTGCCATGGCATCACGCTCACAGCAACCTCCAACTCCTGGGCTCAAGCGAGTCTCCTGCCTCAGCCTCCCAAGTAGCTGGGACTACAGGCGCCCGCCACAACGCCTGGCCATTTTTTGGTTGCAGCCATCATTGTTGTTTGGCGGGCCCGGGCTGGGGATTCGAACCCGCCACCTTAGGTGTATGTGGCTGGCGCCTTAGCTGCTTGAGCCACAGGCGCCGAGCTGCCATTTGATTTTCAAACTGAACAGACACATTTTACTTCTTATCTAGTAGCTTGTGATTGTAAAATAACTATGGAAATGAAGGAGGAAAGAAGCTGGTGTAGTGAGTTTGCCTAGCAATTTATCTCAGCCAGTGCAAGAAGAAACTTGGAAATTGGCCCAAGGGAAGAGATGAGTACAGAAGCTCTTCATGTTCATGCAAGAATGAAGATACTCATGTGCAAAAGTATTTTATCTTATCTGTTACCAAAAGATATTTGATGTAGCTTAGTTGTAGTGCAGGACTATATTTACAATATGCTGGATTTAAAGCAGTATCAACTATATTGATAGTAATTGAAGTAATATTGCTCTGATTCCTACTGATTCTTTTTGTTCTCACCCTTGGTTAGACTTGGCAGAATTCTTTCATGTACATTACTTTTATCAACCTGTGTGAAGAGGAGGTGGGAGTGTAGGGGTCCAGAGGGTGGTCTGGAGTCATATTGGCTAGATTCCCTCCCAGACTCTTCCACCCAGAGCTACATGATCTTGGGCAAATTCCTTAACCTCTTAAAAAATAGGAATAACAGAAAAACTTACTCATTGGCATATTGAAGAACTGTTAGCTGCACAAAGTTAGCTGCATCTGTTTACTTCTAGTGCTTGATATGGCTCATGTACAGCAGACCCTCTACAGCTGATCTCTTCCTACATTGACTGCCTTCTTAAGGTGACCTAATTTTCACAGACTGGACATGCACCACATGTGCATATGAGCACGGTTGGCCTAGTTCCTTATTGTGACCACCTCCGTCTGGAGACCAGTTTGTTACAGTCCCTGAGGTGGTCAACTTACAGAGGTTATGCTGTATTTAACTATTGAATTTTATCTTGTTAGATTTGATCTCCCTCTTCAAACTATTCAAACTCCTCTTGTCACTCAGTTCTGTACCCAGATTATTTATCAACTCTAGCTTTTTATACTCACAGTACCTTGTTAAGTATTACTTAGATCTAATCATCCATACAAATACTATGAAGGATGTATCTCCCTAATTACATTAGGTAGTAGGGCTGCCGTAAGAGAATACCATAGATTGGATGGCTTAAAGGACAGAAATTTATTTTCTCATAATTTTGGAGGCTGGGAAGACAAGGTGAGGTGCTCGCCAATGCTGTTTGTGGTGAGGGCTATTTTCCTGGCTTGCGGACGTTGACTTCTTTTTTTTTTTTTTT